GCTGCAGACGGTGAGGACTCAGCTGCAGACGGTGAGGACTCAGCTGCAGACGGTGAGGACTCAGTTGCAGACGGTGAGGACTCAGTTGCAGACGGTGAGGACTCAGTTGCAGATGGTGAGGACTCAGTTGCAGACGGTGAGGACTCAGTTGCAGACGGCGAGGACTCAGCTGCAGACGGCGAGGACTCAGCTGCAGACAGTGAGGACTCAGTTGCAGATGGTGAGGACTCAGTTGCAGACGGTGAGGACTCAGTTGCTGACGGTGAGGACTGAGCTGCAGATGGTGAGGACTCAGCTGCAGAAGGTGAGGACTCAGTTGCAGATGGTGAGGACTCAGTTGCAGACGGTGGGGACCTTTCTGGGTAGAGTTTGCGTGTTCTCTCCATGCTTGTGTGGGTTCTCACCGGGCACTCCAACTTCCTCCCACAGACCAAAAACATGACCGTTAGTTTAATTGGTAACTCTAAATTGTGCATTGAATGGTTGTCTCATTTGTCTCTCTGTGGCCCTGTGATGGACTGGAGACCTGTCCTTATTATTAGTCCATTTGTCTATTCACCTTGTGAGCTTATTTAAATAATGAAGGCCTGTGATGATTCCAACAAAACTGCTAACAGTTGGTCATTACTGAATGGCGACGGGGGACATCACCGACGTTTGGTTTTGAGTTATATCTYGTTATAATTGTCTTCATTTATTATAAATAGTAAATGGACTGTACTTGAATTAGCACCTTTCTATCCAACCAGGACACTCAAAGTGCTTCACACTACAATCGGTGTCCTCATTTACCTATTTACACAGCATTTTATTAGATCTCCTACGAAGCTAACATGTACAAGTACAATCATCTATGGAGACTAGTCAGTGCCAATCACATTCATACACTGAAAGGATACATCAGCGGCATTAGGGGTGAAGTGTCTTGCCCAAGGACACAACAACTGAGACAACTGGAATGAGGGATGAAACCGGTGACCTTCCAGTTCCAGGACGACTCCCCTAACCACTCTGCCACGGCAGACATTATTGTATCAGCGAATCATTGCAACACTATAGAAATGCGTCAAACCTGCAATCTAATAATTCAGATTTGCAGCACATTTACAGTAGTACTGAAAAGAAAATTGGATCAAATGTGACTGAAGCTATTTGTGACTGTATTTTAAAGAGAACTTGATACGATGATGTCAGTGTATGTTCTGATCACTTACCTGAAGTTCTTTGAGTCAGTCTTTGGATTTATTCTCTTCATGGTCATTATGGTCTCATTCTGTGTTCTGAGGTTCTTGTGTTTTGAGTTTTGTTTCTTGTGTTCTTATAAGTTTATCTTTGTTGTATTAGTTTCTTTGTTCAATCAGTCAATGGTTTCAGCTGATCAGTTTTTTCCCTCCGGTGTTCCCTGTGTCATCTCTCCCCTGTTCTCGGTTAGTCTGCCTCTCTCACCTGTTCCCAATCTGTAATCTGTTCAGCTGTCTTCAGTACCTCATCAACCAAGTCTCCTGCCGTCACCACCTCAGCAGTGTGTTATTGGCTTCATGTCTCATCAGGTTTGTTTTACCCAGGCTCTTTGTACTATCCTATGATCTGACATTTTACTAAGTTTTGTTTTGCTGCCTTGTCAGCTTTTTGTTTTTTTATGTAAAAAAGTTTTATTTCTTTAAGCTCCTTGAGAATACATCTGCATTCTGGGTCTAATCCTCCCACACACCTGACAGGTGGGTGGTGTGCTGCACTGGATGATCCCTGATGTGACCTTTGAAACAACGAAAGAATAACACAGTCACAAATCATGCAGAGCGGACACATGATAAAAGTAATCGCCAAGCATTCGTTGAACAAATGCATGAATTAAAACTCAGAATCTAATAAGGATGACCCACAGCTACTACCACACCAAGTACACAGTAGGTGAAGTCAGTTCATGCAGTCTACTGACGTATAATCATTCATGTGTTTGCAAACGTCGATTAGTTGTGGCAGTCATCTTGAACTGAGGATGACTCCAAAAGCTGCCAGTTGTAGATGTACATTTATGGAGAACTGCAAGAGTTTCTATTCTTGCACTGGTTCATGAGATCTTTTGGTAGTGGTATAGACACACAAACACACACACACACACACACACACACACACACACACACACACACACA